TCTCTTCCCCTTCCCCCGCTTCCCCCCTTAGGGAGAAGTGTCCAGTAACCGCATTCAATCCTATTCCCCTTGCCTGATGGTAGGCAATGTGTGCCCATAATTAATCTGAATCAGACGTCAGGCGCTCCCCACTGCGCCATGGGCAGTTCTTAACTAGTCCCGACTCTGTTGCGTCTTCCCCAGATCCTGTCCGTGACGCCATTCGCTGCTGTGCACTGCAGCGGGGGGGTCCGGAGCCTTAGAGGCCGTCAGGTGGGTACTTGTGATGCTTGGAGTGGAATTAATTAGGCGGACGCTTATCGGTTGCAAAGCAAGATTGTTTACTTACGCCGTCACGGTGGTGAATGACGGAGGTCAGAGATACTTGGTTAGTTACAGCTTAGAGTTCAGTAGGTCGGTCTGCAAAGTAGGTCGGTTTGCAAAAGTGGTCGGGCCGGCAGTCGTCGATTACGTCTGAGATAGGGTCAAAGACGGGGGGACGAACTGGCAACTGATCAGATCGCCAGTTTACTCTGACATGTATGTTCAGAGGTCTCCAAGGTGCGTACGGAGGTCTCCAACTACGCGGAAGTACAAGCGGGTTTTATTTGTTTGATAGCCAATTGCTTTTTGCCACGTCATAAATGTAATTAGAATTGCCAATTACCTAGTGGTTTTTCGCTAGGGTGTTTTATGCAGGGCTACTCCCCTGTCACTCGGACCAATTATAATGATTTATGTAAAGCATAGAAAGCAAGAGTTTCATTTCTGTTAGTGGCGCAGTTATAAATTTCTTTTTGGCATGCACAGCAAAGAAGGCTGTTACTATCATTTTGTTAACCCTTAGTTAACCTAGTGCAAAATAAAGCTGCTTCGAATGGTATCTCTTGCTTGTGACATGGGCACTACTTAATTGGGTTGTGACAGCTGTCAAATGCAGCAGTCCCTGCAAATGTGCTTCTCATGTAGATAATGAGAGGGGTGCCTGCAGCCTGTGGTGTGGGAATGGGATTATTGGCACTGGGCGATGCTGCTGTTCTGTTG